AAACAATATGTTTTCCTGATGTTGAAGGGAAATGTGCTGAAATTCCTAACATTCAGGAAAGAAAAAGAAATGGATTTTTTCAGTTTATTGGGGTGAAAACAAATGTGGACATACCAGAATTTCCTGTGGAATAGAAGTGCTCATTTCATTACAGAACTTGGAGATGTGGCTAGACTACGTGGATGAAGGGCAAACCCAGCCAGCCTGTGGCATGGTGAGACCTTGGCCTGTCCTGCCCTTTGGGATGCCTGCGTTGTTTTCTTGAGTTTTGGTGCCTGCCTTTCAGTGTTGACAGAGAATCAAAGCAGTCTGCAGTGAGGGGATGGAGAAAGTTTGTATGCTTGGGATTCCACTGTTAGCAAACCCAGAAGTCAATCCTTACTAGCATGGTACAGGTCTGAGGTCTGATTTTGCTCATACACAAATCAATTTGTCCAGAAATATGCTAGGGTAACCTCTCAACAGAGCTGAGAAAAGGCAGCAATTGGTGCAGTGATTCCACCTCACGGCCTGTAGGCTGTGTAATGAGACCCTCCAAAGACGTTTGCAGTTTTAAGAAATAAAAGGTTCAAAACCGAGGCCAGGGGAGAGAATGAGATATGATATGACGTGCTGTTTATCTATTTTGTGACTTGTGGGATCACGAAGGTTGAGTACTACAGAGCTAGGGAAATCCATTTTCCTTGGGTATGGCATTGCCATATCCTTCAGTGGGAGAAGGAGATGCCTTGTGTAGTATGTGAACCTATTTATAACAGTAGAAATATTACAGGATTCATTAGTGGTGATAATAAGTCTTGTGTTTCAGATTGCAAAACCATCCCTGTTAAAACAGCTTTCTTTAAAATTTGCAGAGCATTTAGGACAGGTTTCCTTCAAAAAAGTTTCATAGTTGGTGTTTATGTTGTATATTATTATGGCTGAAGTGCTGGATAAATCTCAGCCAAGAAAGAACAGATGTTTACAAATGCCTCCTGGGCTGTATAAGGGAGCCAGTCGGGAGCCAGCTTCCTCCCCAGGTGTCCTTGCACCAGTGTATGGGACCACGCAGATTATGAATTTGAATGGGTGGGAAAAGCAGCCGGTGCAGCTCTGTGGAGTCACTGTTCTTGCCGCAAGCAGGTGGATGCAGGGAGGGAGGATGGAGCAGGAAGTACTTTAGTCTATGGAGTTGCCTCCTCATCATCAATAAATTCCTTCCTTTGCAGAAGGAAAGGGAGTTGCAGGAATGAGCTCTGAGACTAGTCATGTCCATCTGGGCTCAAACTCCAGGTCAGCTTGGTCTTCTGCATGGTGCCTTACACACTGACTCTTCTCTGAGCTCAGATGCACTGGCCAAAGTCAGCATAATCAGAAGCTGAACTTCCTGTGGCTGCGCTGCTCAGCGTCCATTTAATGGAGCCATTAGCCTATGTGGCCCCTGAAAGATGTTATTTTCAAGCGAGTGTGAACTGAGGAACAGGAGCTTGGTGGTTCTGATGGTGGTGAGGTTGACAGCTTGTTACCTGGGAGTGACAGAGGTCAGCTGTCACACCAGTCCTGCCACTCCATTCTTGGCTCGGCGGGGCCAGTGCGTGGAGGAGGTCACGTCCACGGCACACCTCAGCTGCGATGCGACTCCTTCAGCACCATGAGCTTGCCATGCGCATCCTTCAGCGAGGGGGCGAGGGTGAGGTTCATCTCCCAGTTTTAAGTGTCTGCAGGAAGGCTTCCTGCATCTGACTTTATAGTCAGTGGAGATCTCATCAATGCAGGCAGCAGAGTCAAGGCAACAATTCATCCCATCCTGAAGGATAAACCCGTGTTAGATTTGTGTTCCTGACACAGTCTAGAGCATGTTTGGGCTAGATAGCCAGCATTAAGAATCAGCATAGATCTAATTTACACCAAATGAGAATTTGGCCCGCACATTGCAGATTTTTCTGTCATGGTCTTTTTTAAAACTTCCTTAATTCTCTAACTGCTGTTTGAGATGATGCCTCTTCCAGAAAAGCCTGCTCTGTCATCACCACTGCTTTTGTGCCAAGGACATTGTGGGTTTACATCAGTGCACAACTGCAGTGACTCAGTGATGGATCAGGCCCCATGGTTCTAACCAGGTGCAGTGAAGTGCTCAACATCTGCTGTGAATTGGCACAGCTTCACTGGGTGTCTCAACTGCATTGGTCCACTGATGTCTTCACAGGCATCATGTCGCCACCATGAGCAGAAGCACTTTCAAACTTCAGATTTTTTTCCTTCGCAGTATGTGAAGTTCATAAATTTTTGTTCCCTTTATTTTTCAGCCTGCTGATCTGCTCTTAATCTTTTGCCTGCCTGTTTAAAAAAAGTTAATCGTCACTGTGTTACACCATAGACCTTGCTTGTGATACAGAAACAGATTGTGCAATCATTCTTTGTTCAATGTGCCGCCCTTCTGAGTCTGTCATTGCTACTTATCTCAAGGAAGTGTCTTCCCCTGCCCTGGATCCAGCAGGATCCTTTGCATAATTCCCTCTGTAAATGTCTCACATCTCTCCCGAGAAGAACGATGCTCCCCGAGCTCCCCGTCCTTTGCTTGTGTCTCCTCTTTCACTCTCGGGGTAACACAGCTTTAGGTCTCCAGGTCTCCTGAGAGACACAAGCTTTATAAGCCACCAAAACCCTGGTCCTCCCAGGAAGTGGCAATTAAGCGGGTGCTGGGCAAGTCCAGTCTCAAACTATGAGAGCTGTCTACCTCATGTTTTGAAGCTGTTACATGTATCTGCTATATGTTTTTCTGCCCCCTGGAGAGGCTCTTCCCCTTTATGAACCTTCTCCTTGACAAAGGAAAACACTGGGACTGTGAAGAGCTTTTTCTTGCAGACTAAAGTGAAGTCAAGGATCGATAGCTGGCCCTAGTTGTCACTGGTAGATGCGGATGGCAGCAGAGGGTGTAGCCCTTTCCCTCCCAGTTCTTGCCTGTTTTGCTTCACCGTGGTTATGCTCTCTATCCTGAACCCCATGGCTTCTCAGCTCTGTGAAGTTGCATTTTGGTAGCGACGCTGATAAAGTGAGGTCCTTGGTGTGCATATTTGGTTGGGGCATGAGTCCCTTTTCTTTGTGGGAATGAGGGTACAGGAGATCAGAAGGAAGATGAGAGAAAAATGCCGGTGTATGCAAAAGGCGGTTTTGCAGGGTTGTAATTGGTGATCTCAAAAGGCAATAGTCTTGAGACATGGCGGGGGATATTTACACAAGGGTGCGCTTCCAAAGGAAAGTGTGCTAGTCTGAAGTTTCCTTCATGGGCAGTGGACTAATTACACTTCAAAACCTTTAGTGTGGCATATGGCTCGTTCTTTGACCTGAACACCAGAAGGAGTGCCTGTAGGGACAAGAGAGCTCTTTTGCTATTCCTGTTCCTCCGTGATTGCTGGGAGCTGGCTTGGCCCATCATGTAACTCCAGGTGGCCTGGGAGATGCAGCAACTACTGAGGGAGCTTCAGACAGCCCAATGCAGACAGAACTCTAGGCTTCTCCTCTAGCAGGGTTCATCCCTCAACTTTCTAGGGTAATTTTCTGCTTAGATACAAGGGAATCAGAAAGGCCCCCAAAGCGGGTGTCTTTGACCCTGCAGGTTCTTAGCAGCGCTGTGTGCCAAGTTGTTACCTTGCCTGAGGTAGTGCAAACCTCCCACGCTAAACAGTCAGCATTTGCAGTTTGACCCCGAGCTCTGCTGCTGGAGGCCTGAACGTAGTCTTTCCTATCTGGGGATCAATGCTGTTGTGCACTCTCTTGGGCTGTGACCACCCATGCTTAGGAAAGCTCAAGAAAGTCAGGAAACCTCTCTCATTTAAGGCTTCCTAGCTGACTGACCAACAACCATAAGCTCCACATAACGCTACTGTTCCCTTTGGGAATGTCTGGTTTTTGGCTGCTGCTATAATTAATAACTGTAGTGTAAATGTAGTACTGTCTCATTTGGAGGGGGTAGAGAAAAAGTTGTGCCTGGGCTAGAGTCGCAGGTTGTCTGTGGAGACTGAGCGGCAAGGTAATCAATTACCACAAGCCTGTCTGCAGGCATTTTGGATCTCTGGCTCCTTTCCATAGCAGAAATAATAGCCACGTCTTTTGCCAGGTAATTTTCCAAATGATTATTTTAAGTAATACGTTGCTGTGATCTGGTGAAAGAGCCTCAAGATTTATTAGAGGGTTGTCACTGAGAGGAAAAGCGGTAAGTGAACTCTGTGAGCGGGTGGTAAGCAGCACAGGGCAAGTGGCACATGAAACACTGAAGTCTAATTGCTCAAGTCCTCCCTCTGTTTCCAGAAATGGGAGACAGGGAGATGCATCTCACCTCCTAGTGCTGGCTGCCAGCACCACAGGTCACCGAGCAGATGACACCGGAGCCACTCTGCGATGGCAGGAGACATGGGGCAGAGGTGACAGATTGCTCCTCTCCCTTCCCTGGGCAGATCTGCACAAACTTCTCAGCAAAGAAGGTCACGTGGTTCTGGTTGCGTTGCCCTTCCTGCGGTAAAAGCTGAAACAGAGTCCTGTTTTAATAGCCTAGCTTGAAGCTGAAGCTTATAGCTTTGCGTAGAGGCTAGTCCAACCAAATCTTGGAGAGTTTGCTTTTACGGATGCTTCAGGTTAGTCTGGCCATAAAAAAAAAAAAAAAAAAAAAAGAAGAAGAAAGAATTAGGGCATCATAAATCTTAGGATGCTTTTGTCAGTTCTTGCCTGTTTCCATCTATTTTGGTAAAAATGTCTGCGGTTGCTTTGGGACTGACAAGTGCCTTCTTACAAATAAATGACATGATTCTTTATTAAGCCACCCCTTCATGGCTCTGTCAGTGTCAGAGGGCCTTTTAGTGGGCTTTAGGAGATGGTGCTGCCAGGGTGGAGTAAAGGAACCTCAGTGAAACTGAGAATCAAGCCCATGGCTTGGGAGAGGAACATACTGATAGAAACATGTGGCAACATGAACACACATCCACATCACAGTAATGGCATTTTCTTTCTTCTCCCCCTTCCTCCAGGTTATCTCGCACCCCGAAACCTTCCTAGTGCAGGCTTCTTCCCGTTCCTGCAAACCGTGCTGTGCGATTCAGACGCCAGATGTAAAGGCACACCGTACACACCAGAAGATCTCCTACCAAGACTTAATGGCATCTCATCTCTCAGACTGTAAGGGAAACTGAAGGATTCTGGGTGTTATGAGCTGTAGAGCAAGACTTGCTTTGAGGTGGAGGCAGCAGCCGTGCATGTGTGTTTGTCCCCAACAGAGTAGTCTCAGATACCTGAGCACTTAGCATACGAGGCTTAATGCTGGATAAGGATAGCTGTGAGTAGATGTGTCGGTTGCTTCAGGCTCTCTAGTGGAAGAGGGTTCTCTTCCCTGAGCAAGATGCTTCTGGTGAACCAGACTTCTCAAATCAGAGCAAAGATACTTTTTTGCATGACTGGAGGTCTTCAGGGGCGTCAGTCAGTAAAACTGCACTGAGAGCAGTCCAGCATGCTGCCCATGGCAATTGGTTCAGGACACTTTGGTTAGAAGCGGCAAATGTTCCCAAACGGCGCTCACTTCAGAGATACGTTGATGCTGGAGTGACCGCTCTTTTAGTAGAGCATTCAGACCACAGCCAAAATGGGGGAAAGGGGGGTCTTCTCTGCTAGAGAGGACGTAACATATAGACAAATGAAAATGAAGAGACAGTTTCTCTCCTCAAGAGCATAGAGGTTTGCAGAGTGGAGCTGGCTGGGCATGTTTTGCTGGAATGCTGTTTTTTTGTTTTTTTTTTTAATTGAAATGTTTAGTGGATGCATTTCAATCTCATGATGTCCCAGCGGAAGCCAAGTAACACTTGCTCTGAGACGTGCCAGCCAGGGATGCCTCTGCATCTTGGCTACCTGACTCTGGCAGGCCACTGGGGAGCATGGTCTGTGAGATATGCAGCTCTAAGGCCTGGCTGATTGTCAGAGAAGCGAAGATCTTGGCATGTCACATCTCAGGTCCTGGGTTCCTCATTCTTGCTTTGAGTTGGAAGGCTGCTCCAGAGTGGCTGTTTCAGAGCCTTAAAATCCCTCTTGGCCAGACGTTGAGGCTGAAGAGCTTCAACTGGGCCACAAGCCTTCCACCAGAGAGCCCATCAGACAGTACGGGGGAGCCTGGGGTTGGTGACTCCTAAAGGATCCTTTTTGGTCAATGCAGAGGGGCTGGTATTTCTTGGGGCACGTCAATAGTCAGTATCTTGCTGTTGGTTAGTAGGAGCTTGGATGATTAAACATGTGAATGATGAAATTTTGCAAGGTGAATCCTAACCAAATTCAAGGTTGCACAGCGGAAGAGGGCAGAGCTATACGGAGATTGGATCCCTGGATTCCCAGCTCTTCAGTCATTTCCTTGGTGTCATTGTTTTCTGAGGGCATGTTAAACAGTGGTTGATTTGGGGCTTTGAAATGAAGAAATGGGAGCCTTTAGTGCTAAAGCTGGTCTTACCTGGGCTTCAGTAGCTGCAAATCCTCCTTACTTCCTGTTGTTTCTGTACAGCTGCTTAGGAAAGAACTGATTTTTTCCCGACAACTGAATATTAAAGTGTTTTTCTGAATTATCGATCAAGTCACATAATTCATTAATAAGCATCTTGACTGCTGCCGATGTCAGAAGTTAGCTATATAAAGTATCAAAAAACTATGTGAGGGTAAATGTGCACTTGTGTGATCAATGTTAGTCTTAGAAATATATTGTATTCTACAAGAAAAAGCACCCACATTTAAGTAGCCAGATCAAATACAGCAGAGTACAAAACCTCAGCAGAAGGTTGACTGAGCAAGAGAAGGCTCCAGAAGCCGATGTTGAATAGATGCAACTCTCCCATGTGAGCAGAATCAGCCAGGGTGAATTTGTCATGAAGGTAAAATATTTTAGCTGTGACCCTTTACTGTCTGGAGTTACTACTGTGTAATATTTTAGAGTTTGTACTATTCTGCTGATAACCCAGAGAAGGGTGGGTATTTTTTGCTCCCGCTGTGCAACTCACTGAAGCTCTTATTGAACAGTTTTCTAACTTTCCCTAAAACTGTTTCTTAGCAGTGGCCAGCAGAGAAAATGGACAAGATTCTCCTCTTGGGTTCTGTTCCCCAGAGGCACATGCTGAGGAGTGCAAAATATGGCCATTTGGGATCTCCTTGAATAAAAGGGAACTGAAGTACAAGAACTCAAGACCAACATCTCCCACCCTTTCTTTTCCCCTGAAGTAAAATGTTTGGGAAGGAAGAAGTAAGGTCTTGATGTCTTGAAGAATTTCTAAGTACAGGCATGCAGCAGGCTGTTATAACCTAAAGCTACTTCAGCTTACATCAAGGCCTGTCTGCCCAGCCGGAGTGTCCTTAACAGTGCCGTGAAGATCTGCGCTGTTTTTTCCATTGAGCATGTGTCAGTGGAGAACAGAATATGACCTGATACAATGAGGCCTTCTTTCCAGAACTGGGAATTTGTTTCAGATTAGACCAAATATACATTTATCAAGCCTTATCTCTCCCTGGTGGAGTTGAAAGTTTTGTCAGTGGAGAGGCATCAGGCGTGAATGTAGCCCCCTCCATCTCTTTAGTGTCTGAGAGCGCTGCAGTACGTTCCCCCCAAAATGCACAGCATTCCTCTAGAAGAAACCAAACTCCGGCCCAACTCAGATTTCAACACACCACCTCTGAAATCCTGCTGTAGACCCATCCTGAGTCATGCCATAATTAAGCTTAAGCTTAATCATAAGGAACTCTTGAGTTATTACAAGTCTCTCTTTCTCCCCCTCCCCCTTTTCTTTTCCCCAGTAAGCGGAGGAGATCGGCTAATGTGGGCAAGGACAGCCACTCATCACCTGGGAGTGCTGAGGTTCCTAAAAGCAAGAACACTTTGCTGGGTAGGTTATTCAGTGGTGCAAGCAAGAGGCTGATCTTTTGAAGCACTCTGGACAGAGCTGCAATTCTCAGAGCACTTCTGAAATGATTTGTGTATTCTTTACTGGCACGTGACCATGGCGTTAGTGTAAATTCTTGGGAATGATTACAAGTAATTGTCTGTAGAAAAGGCTTGGAATTTGGCCAAGAAACCAGGATTAAATTGCTGTGCTTCACAGGGGCAGTGTGAGATCACAGACTGGACGTTAATTGAAGACCTGACTATTTATGGAATATTGCCCTTTTATTGCCCACAAATTGTCTGTAAACAGCTTACGATTTTTTCAAATGTATTTCTTATTCACAATTATCCAGCAAATACGTCGTCTTCTGTGCCACAGCGAATATTTGTTGTCGGTGGTGTTCTCCTCTGATGTGTTTCTCTTTCCTGAAGGAACTTTCAGACTTAAATTTCAGGAAAATCATTACAGTTATTATTTATTAATGGTAATGGCTAGTACTATCTGCAAGCCCTCATGATGGATAGTCATTTCTCCAGGGAGCTCACAATCAAATGAAGGATTACAGATTTGCATTCTGTGACTG